TTTTAAAGCATTCTGAATGTAAAAATAATGAAAAAGTGTGCAAGACAATAAGAAACACTACCTGCTAAAAAAAAGTGAAGTTGAAAAATGAAGGAAATCCGATCCCATATATAAACACACACACACACACACACACACACACACACACACACACACACACACACACAACCAACCTGGGTTTTATAAAAAGTATAACTCGATATTAATAAGTATAACTTGATATGATTTGCCCCCCTTTCATTAATGCCTCTTAATCGTGTTTTCAAATTGATTTCGTGCAAAAACAGTTGTATTTTTCCTATTTTTGGCGCTGTCAGAACCACCGCAAGGTAATTTTACGTAGTCCTGTGAAGTTTTGTTGAAATCGGTTGAAAAATGTAGAAAATCCGATCCAATATATAAACGTACACACACACACAGACACACACACACAGACACACACACACACACACACACACACACACACAATCTGCGTTTTATAATAAGTAAGATAAAAAGGCTTAAACACTAATATTCCATGGTCATAATTTATTCCATTGGAATCGTAAATACGATCCAATTCATCAGACCCACAAGTTCAAAAAGAAAACTGAAAAAATATTATAATATATACTCGCGTATCATGTGACTTTTGAAGAGCTAATTTTAAAGCTAATTTTAAGATGGTCGTATCATACACGAGATACAAAATTAGCGTATGTACTGCTGGCCTTCCCTACGCCGTTGACCAAACTATATATCCATTTACTGTAGTCAATCAAATTAGCTTCAAAATTAGGTCTTCAAAAGTCACATGATACGCGAGTATATACAGCATATATGACTCCGTGCGTCTTACAATAAATGCTATTTTTGTTGATACATATGTTTGAGTAATATTCTCTTTTTTTTAAACAGTGAAATTAATGCCTACCGACTTAGAAATAGAAGATATTATTAAAGAAAATGTACACATCGGCAAAAATCGGACCTGCATTCTTTTAACATGGGAAACCACTTTAAGCCAGGTGTGCTTTAGCGTTCAGCAACGAAAGTCTGTACAGCAAAGCACTGTTTGCAAAAACAAAAACAAATGTCTACTCAAATACGTATCTCCACAAAAATAACGCTTATAATAATAAAGCATATCTATCTATCTATCTATCTATCTATCTATCTATCTATCTATTTCAATATATATGCATATATCTCTCTCACTCTCTTTCTCTCTATATACACACATACACAGACACACATATATATATGTCTGTGTGTGTGTGTGTGTGTGTGTAGGTATTTTCCTTTCACAAAGAAAAGCGATACCTAAAGTTTAAAATGTATTTTAAAAATCAAAAACCTCTCTTAAGCTTCTATTTTAGTTTTAATCTCAAGCTAATAAATAAAATTGAATATTCCAAATTAGCAAAATAATTTGTTGTATTTGAAATTGAATTTAAATTGATTCGAATCAGTTTTTTTATTCGTAAAAACGCTAAAATCGTCCATATTGACAAATCTGTCAACACAACGTAATTCTCTCTATTAAAAAAACACTTTTCAAGAATAAAACATATTTTTCTGAAACTTTGTTTGAGGAAGATTAAACGATTTAAAATTTAATTAATCTAATTCGAAACAAGTATTACTTTTAGTTTAAAATATCACAGAAAATCATTTTTTAACACGGAAGTGTGTGTTTTTATGAGGTGATGACAACTCTCTTCATAGACTTAGGTTAGGCAGTTTCTTCTAAGGGGGACATAACTGTAACAATTACTTGAATATAACATGAACACCTTTCATATATATATATATATATATATATATATATATATATTAATAACGCAGTAATCTTAAAAATTTAAGAAAATATTATACCCAATATTCTACTGGTTTAGGTATTTTGGCTCTATACTTACGTAGACGTTTATTGAGGAAATTACGCATGAATTTTAATTTCATTATAATTATCGCTCTTATTTTCTGATAATGACCCATTTGAACATCCGTATTTGCAAAAATCGACACGTTTATACACACATAGAATAAATTCAGAATTCTAGTGAGCTTCTCAATTTATGATTAGTTAATAATGTTTTAATTTAATAACATTATCCCTTAATCTCTACAAATTAATACGGAATTTTAAAAGATTTAAAAGTTTATGAATTATTCTAATTAAAATGAAATTTATTATTCATCGATATTTCTTTTTTTAAGACAATAGAACTCATAATATATTTTATACATAAAAGTAATTAAAAGCTTTTCTAATTAAATAATGCCTTAGTTTTATTGCATTTTTTATTTTACGATTCAGAGCAGATTTTCTCCCAGTGTAGATCCTGGTTAACTAAAGATAATTGTTGATTTAAATTATCAAAGAACTTGTGCTTATGTCTAATATAAACATTAAGTGTTGCAAAATTTAATTTCTCGAAATTTCATAAAATTAAATATGTGGGGGTAAGGGTATCAGATATAAAACTACTTTTAGAAAGATTTTCTAAAAGAACGTTTAAATAAATAATTTAATTAATTTCTGAATAAACTCTGAAATCTGACATTTATTTGATTTCTGCAAGAATTTCCAAGTCACAGTCTTCTGCACCGCAAAAAAGACGCTAATGTTCTCTCATACTATTTTATGGTATAACGTTGACACCAAACTTTAACAAAAATTTGAAAACTTTAAAAGGATTAAAAAAATAATTTTTACATAAAAAATCCTTTAATGTTTCCTCTTAATAATATCATACAGACGATAAAACTTTGTTTTTAAGTTTTGGGATTTTTTAATCATTTATGCTCATTTCTAGCGAGCCTCTGGCGGTAATATATATATATATATATATATATATATATATATATATATATATATATATATATATATAGTGTAACCCGGATATAAGAGAGTTGACGAGACCGGAGAAGAAGTCTCTTATATCCGGGTTTCTCTTATATCCGGGTTTCTCTTATATCCAAGTTTGGTCTATTTTATATACATTAACACCGGCTCTAATTTGGGATCAGAGAAAATCTCTCTTATATTCGGGTTTGTCTTATATCCGGGTTACACTGTATATATATATATATATATATATATATATACACACACACACATATATATATATATATATATATATGTGTGTGTGTGTGTGTGTGTGTGTGTGTGTGTGTGTGTGTGTATGATTATGAAAGCGGAGACTTTATAAACCCATGGTAACATGGTAATATTTTATTTCGCAAAACCGATACTACGGTTTCGTCTCATCTGACCAAACGGTTTCAACAATAAATGGATTCAAAAAAATTTCAGGCACAGACAAAAAAAAAGAAATATTTAAGCATATTACGCTCATTTCTAGCGAGCCTCTGGCGGTAAAGCCCACATATATATATATATATATATATATTTTTGAACAATAAGAAAATTAAAATTAAAAAATTAAAAAATTAAAAATTAAAATCATTAGACACACTGGGTTGTAGATTAATATTCTTTCGTTTTTTATTATTATTATTATTCCATTTAAATTCCTCGACTAGTTTCGACCGAAATGGCCATCATCGGGAGGTATGAATATTTCTGCTTGCTGTTAGCAAGCTGTCAATGTTTATATATATATATATGCTGTCAATGTTTATATATATATATATATATATATATATATATATATATATATATATATATATATAGTGTAAGTGTCATAGACTGGCAAATAAGTTTTTTGTGTGGTTGTTAAAAGAAGACGGGAAAACACCGTGTTGGCTCATATTTTAATTTATTCCGAGTACTTTCGACATAGCAGAAAGTCATCATCAGGGTATTGTTATGCTATGTCGAATGTACTCGAAATAAATTACAATATGAGCCAACACGGTGTTTTCCTTTCGTCTTTTAGCAACCACTCAAAAAAAGCTTATTCGCGAATATGATAGCATCTTATTGATAATAAGTAGACAGAACGAGGTCTAGATTATTTAACGAAACCTGCCTGAACACACACACACACACACACGCGCACACACACACACACACACACACACACATACATATATATATATATATGAATTCAAATATTCATTAATTTTTCGACAGTCTTGTACCTTGTATTATGCATTAAGTACTTATTTCTATCAATCTTAGACAGTACTTCCGTTATCCATAACGTCACTTTTGTGTTATGTTTTATATTTATACCGTGTAAGTTCATGACTGCACGTGTCAATGTTTATATTTCTATGATTTCGGAAATACCTATTGCTTTTCTATCCTTTAACGTTGACTTAAAGAAACTGTTTTTAAGTTATAAGTTTTCCATCCGGAGTTTTAAAAATGGAGGCATCATTTTCAGTTTGAGTGTATATGTGTTATACATATGAACTAAATTTGAATCACCCGGTATCATTCCAATATGTCATCAAGTGTGTGCAAGTTCTAATTGGGTTATTTGTGTGCGTCTCGGTACAATTTTAAGCTTGAAAAATATTCCAGGACACGTGTGCTTTATTTAAAATACAGTTGTTTAAAATTACGCACTCCTATGTCCTCTTTTAAAAATTGCACGCCTACGTAGATCTTCTGTCCAATTAAAATCATATTTAATTTTATGCAGAGTCACGGTGTGATTCAGTATTCTGTGCAGGACTCATTCTAACACGCTGTGGAAAAGTTATCAACACAGGCTTTTAAAACTATCAGTGTTGTTGCTCATTGGAGATCGTACATTTGTGGACATATGCCAAAACTCACTAAGTACTAAATAGCACTTCTCTTCATAGACTGGCATCTTTGTACGCGCGTGAGAACATACAATGTGCGAATACAGCATTGGATAATATTCGCTCACTCACGCACGTACTCAAACTCCCCATGTAGGTCTTTCGACCTGTCAGTTCAGAAGCCCCTTTTACCCAACTCCAGGTATGTCTTGCGACCTGTCAGTCTAGAGCAGCTTCACATACAGAGGTCTTCTCTTACTATAAATAACGAGACTGTGCCCATTTCGTAACTTAGCTCACAGCACCTTGTATTCCCCGGCAGTCACCCATCTGAGTACTCACCAGGCTCAACATTGCTTAACTTCGGTGATCAGGCAAGAACCGGTATTTCTGCGTGACATGACCGTAAACCTTACTGTTATATTTTTCTGAGAGTTGCAAGGACAAGATAGCAGCGTAATGTTTTCAACTGTTTTATTGTTAAACAAATTTGTAGTAAATTATTTAACATTGATTATAAAGATAATCGATAGAGTATAAGATATGAGTTCTGTGCAATCGATGCAATGAGGCATTCATTTAATTAGTAAAATAAAAGACAGAGGAATATTGGTTAGAACAGGTGCTTAGGAAGCGGTGTAGCAGATTTATTTTCTGACCCACTATATGAGAAACGCGAGTAGGTTTATCTATGATCTAAGCCGACAGCAAATCATAGCACTATATGCCTTCATTGAACCATTCGTCATTGTGAACATTGAAATCACTACACACATGTATGCCAGCTGGGGTCTAATGGTTAGCAAGTCTGACTCGATAGAACAATTACAACTGAATGGTGAGTTCGATCCTCACTACTTGCCCCATATTTTCAATCTTGTGCCACTAGCTGATGGACACGATCATTTCAATCTTCTCAGCTAAACATCACAGCTTTATCATCCTGAGGACAATAGAGAGTCAAAACGAAGGGCGTATTAAGAACAAAGTTGATCGATTGGTTTTGTTTAATAGTTATCAAACCTTTGTGGGTTATTTAAAGCCAAAACGTATTGGCACTTCATTCACTTTCCCAGCGCTGTTACGTAGGGTAATTATTCTGATCAGCTTTTCTTTTTGATCCCACGACTTTACGAATTTAAGCTTAGGACTAGATTGGCAGCTAGACATCAATATTTTACAGTTTAAATTGCTAGCTGTAACTGTAAGTTCTATGCAAGCAGTTCCTTCTCTCGCACTTCTAACTTGTGGAACACCCTTCTGATCTCTTGCTTTCCAGTCAACTATAATCTTCAAAATTTAAATGCATTGTCAGTTCTTAGTTTTCTCTTAATGTGCTTCTTTTTCTCATATTCATTCACATTCGGTAAACACCCCCCTTGCGTCTTAATGACTTTATTGACTTGCTTAAGGTGAAATTATTAAAAAAAAACAATGATTATTTTTTGTGAGTAAATATTGCATTAACAATTTTTCTTTCAGAATAACAATGGCTTTTCTAATACAAATAATATTATTTAACCCATAGCTAGCGGTAGAAAAAAGCTACATAACTTTCTTGAGAGTATTTGGACCTAAGTAAATCTAATGAACTCGACTGGAATTCGAACTCCGCTTTCTGATTTTTTATTCAGAGCCGTATTATGAACAAGGGCCATAAGATTGATTTGTGTTTTTTTTTTCTTTTTTGGCGACTTATCAATCTTTTTCAGGTTATTTAAAGCCAGAAAATATTTTAGAATGTAAGAATGATTTGGAGATAATATTTACTAATACAGGTCCTACTAATTAAGCCATAACTGGGAGGAGGAGAAGTGAATTCATGCCTTTACCAAGAATATTTGCGTTTATGTGAATATAACGAACCCAACTGGAATTAGAACTCGGCTTTCTGATTTTTCATTCCGAGCCGTATTATGAACAAGGTTACATGAAAGCACACGACTGAATAGTTAGGGTAGGTATATATGCACCATACTCTTGGCCATGGCGATTCAGGGTGGAGTATGACTTGGGAATTAACGGAAAGTTAATATATATTAGCAGCATGGGCCGGCGTTGCCCGTGCTTGATTCAAAAATCGTACGACTCATACAGCAATCGGTATCACTTGACTTAAAATATTTTTGCCCTTCCTTGCCTTTAAAGGAGTGCCCTTTGCCGTGCTGATGTTGCCACATGCCTTACTTCTTGCCTATCTCACACTGCGAATTTTTTCTAAGCTCTATACTAAACATTAAATCTGTTACGAAAAAAGAACTAAACAAAATGAACACAAAACGATCAGCTTTAAAAAAGAACACGCAACTGGAAAAACGAAGTTCAAAGAAGAGTGATCTTTGCTAAGATCGACAAGCTTCATTCGTTATATTCACTTACTAGCAAATACTCTTACAGAAGGCATGACCCCCACATCTTCTCCACCAGCTATGGGTTAAATAGTAAGTTCTTACAACCTAAAAATAGGTACTAACAAGGCTCGACGTTGTTTAACGTCGGTAATCGTACGGGAACAAATAATACGTATATCCCTCTGGTGCTAGAGATCACAGTTCGAATCCAGGTATTTGTTTTTAAAGACAAGGACACATTTGACAGAGCAAAATGTTTCTTGTTTTTTTTTATATTCCGACCGTTCTTGTTTGGTTCCGTACCATACAAAACCCAGTCGATAGCGGATGAAATAAACAAAACAAAAAAAGTGGGGTGGGTGGGGGTTTCAAGAAAAACAAAGAATAGGAAAGGGAAAAACAGAAAAAAAGGCTATGCAGTAAAAATAAAATAAAATTAACCAAAACTGCTTTTTAATAGTAACTAGATTACCGTTGCGTCATTGAAATTTCAGGTTATAAAATATTGAAGTTGATTTCAACATTAAAATATTGTCTGTTTAAAAAAAGTTGAAATAAAAATACTTATGGTATAAACAACTAGTATTTTTAAATCTTATTAACTTAAAACATTTTTAAATCAGATTAACTTAAAAATATTTTTTAATATGCCAAAAAATATTTTAAAATCATATTCACTTGAAAGTATTTTTTAAATATGGCAAAAAGTAATTTTAAATATTTAAAATATTGTTTGTTTAAAGAAAGCTTAAATATAAATAATTACTCTACTGGACAGAACAGCAAAGCGAAATCTCTTTGTGTCTGTCTTTAATTTAAGAAATATTTCAATTAAAAATATTGTTTATTTGAAGAAAGTTGAAATCAAAATTCTGTATAAACAACTCGTATTTTTAAATGTTATTCACTTAAATCAGATTAACTTAAATCGGTATACACCGGACGGGTGCACAAAATCACAGAGATGAAAAGAGAAAGAGAGAGTGGGGGGTGAAAGAGAGGTGGAAAGAGAGATAGGTGGAAGTAGGGATGGATGGAATGAAACTTAAATCATTATACGCCGGACGGACGACGCACCACGCAAGCACGACTCACAGGCTTTTAGACAGACAGACAGACAGTTAGATGGTAATAATAATAATAATAATAATAATAATAATAATAATAATAATAATAATAATAATAAAAGGATAAAGTCAGTGGGATATTTAAATATTTCTCTGTATGAGATTTTAGCAACTAGTTCTAGTGGCAGATAGTAAAAGGACTGGACATGTTTTAGTCTGATTTACTTCAAACAAAATAAAAAAAAAACAAAAGAAAAAAATGAAATAAAGGCTTTGTTCATTCACAGTATCTACGCTATTGCATACCCTCACCTTCTTCTCTCTACGCTTTTCTCTTACTCTTTCACACAAGTCGAAATCTCTTTGTTTTTTTTTTATTGTTTTGTTTTAAACTTAATGATTTTATATTCATTACACACGCCATATACACAGGGAGAAAACGTTGTAATTAAAGAAGTTTCAGCTTCTTCCCAAGAACAGCTACTTTATGGAACAGGCTCCCAAGTGGATGCTTCCTCGAGCACTATAATCTTAACCTCTTCAAGTCTAGAGTCAACCATTACCTATCCTACAGACCGTCATAATCTTCACTTACTCCCCAGTCCTAGATCTATACCAGAAGTTCCTAACCTTTTTGAGATCATGGCCCAATTTGAACTCGACGTCGGATATTATGTATATTCACACACACACACACACACACACACACACACACACACACACACACATATATATATATATATATATATATATATATATATATAATGGAACCTCGGTTCACGAATTAAATTTGTTTCTGAAGGCCATTCGTAACCTGAAATGTTCGTAAACCGAAACTGTTTTCCAATAAGAATCAATGTAGAGAAAATAAAAGTCACAGTACAATAAAATTGTAAACGAAAAACACAACACAACACACGAATGTATACAACATGGCGGTCAACTCAGAAATTATTCCGTTCGGGTTAACTCGGTTCGGCAATGTTGCTTGAGAACCAAAATTTTGTTCGATAATCGAGAAAATTTCATCACGAATTTTCTGTTCGAAAACCGATTTATTCGACATGTGAGACGTTCGAGAATATATATATATATATATATATATATATATATATATATATATATATATATATCCGGTCATTATATTGCATGTGTCTGCCGAGAGGCGTCTACTGATCCAGAGAGGTTAAACTCTGCAATAATAAAACATGAAGGCTGTCGTTCGCAGTTTCCGTGGCAAGACTTTTGCACAGTTACTTTTTTATCGACAGATCCAAAAAGTATGGATGGTCCGACACAAGGTTTCACCACTTGAAACAAATCATTGTGTTGGTTTTCTGACAACTACATCTAATAAGTTCGACACATATCCGGCTACTGCGAAAAACTCTACGAAACAACATCAACTTCATCTTGGTACTTGGAATGTACGAACTCTCCAGGACACCAACTCAGCACCAGAAAGAAAAACAGCTCTAGTCGCATTGGAGCTAAGAAGTACTACATTGATATAGCTGCACTGAGAAGTAGCCATCAGTCGACGACGTGAAACGAGAAAGCAAAATAAGACAGCTAACAGCGTTTCTTTCTTAGATTCGTTAAATATGGTTTAAACCATATTGAAGGAAGCTAAGAAAGACTACGAAACAGCCTTAAAAGATAGTGGATTCCTGACAACACTCACATACTCACCACAGAGCACAAAAAAGGCCAACAGGAAGAGAAATATCATATGGTTCAACCCACCGTACAGCAAAAACGTAAAAACAAAGCTAGGTAAAATATTCTTTAAACTCTTAAACAAACACTTCCCTGAATCAATCACTCTACACAAAATATTCAGAAAAACACCGGGAAAATCAGCTACAGTTGCAACGAGAACATGGCACAAATAATAAAAAAGCACAACAGAACAAATTAAACCTACGTGTAACTGTAGAATAAAGAGTGAATGTCCCTTAAATGGTAATTACTTGCAAAATAACGTAATA